AGTTTGCAAACTGTAGACGCAGGGCCAAGTGCACGGCCATCTCTGAGTTCTGCACTGAGCGGTAAGAGACTGTTCAATGGTAACTAAGGGTACCTAAAACGCCAAAAGGACCAAATCAGCACATGCTCTATCTGTGGCTTCAAGTAGAAAGCTTAAGCCTTTGAGGCACCAATCTCTGCGGGAGGAATCATCAGGGAGAGTGTTGGTTCATTCAAGAACTGTGCTTGGGATGCGGAAAAGCAGGACATTTCCCGAGGGACTGCCCTACCAATCCGGGACCAGCCTCTTCTAAGTTTCTTCTTTAGATAAGCAATGATCATGTTTTTATCTTTCATTCTTCAATAAGTTCAATTTTAATCTTCTATCTAATTGCTTCAGTTTGTTTGATTCTCTAATATTCTTGTGTGCATTTTCAATCTTCTTACAGGTCCAGAGTTCCACTTTATGTTCTGAATAAAGAAAATGAGACAAGGGAGAGTGCACCTGAACCTGGAATTTTTTATTTGAGCTGCACCTGTATTTTGCCTTAAGTCTCTGAAAGAGAGATCTCATAATAGGTCTGGCGGCGTAGTACACACTTGAACTCACCAGCAAAACCCAAACTCCTATCAAATCTCCTCAAGAAAGACATCGAGATTTTGTATCTGCGTGATGCTAAGGTCGCCGATGTAGTCTAAAGAAAACACACGAGATTTGGGTTTCTCTTGATTGATGGGGGTGGGCCGCTAGGGTTCGGATCGAAGTGGATGGGGGAGAGGTATTATAGGAAAGTCAACACATAAATTTTGTACTAAGTCAAACTGGGAATTTAATTTGTGGATGGAGGGAGTATCAAAGTTAGAAGTATGTCTATCACCCAAAATATAGGGGTCAGGCTGCATATGCGATCACATGTGGTGCTTGAGCCGGGGGTCTCTTTGGAAACAACCTTTCTACTTTTGAGTAGGGGTAAGGTCTGCGTACACACACCCTCCAAGACCCTACTGTCAAGGAACCAACTCAACTAAAAGCTCAAGCTTGTGGTTGTGGCCAGGAAAGATTTTATATACTTTAACACGCCCCCTCACGTGGAGGCGTAACTTCTTTGAGCCTTGCACGTGAAACCTTAATTTTTTTTTAAAAAAAAGGGTGGCGGTGAGTTTTGAACTCATTTTCTTTTCTTTTTTCTTTCAAATTCCGTGAACCAAACATAGTGTTAGTGTATTGCTTTGTCATTTTGAAAATGCTATCTACGAGCAGTGTTCAACTTCATTGTTTTCAAAGATAATATTTTCCATAAAAAATAATCCAAAACACTAATTGAAAAAGTTGTTCCCAAATAAGGCCAATGTCATTTTGATAGTCTTGATGCCTTTTAATCTCAACAGGAGACTTGCCCAGGTATGCCTCTCATTCCCGAGATTTGTGTACTTTTTATTCTTTTTGTTTCTTCACGCACATATATGCATTTACGAATATGCACACACACACACATACATGCACACACGCACACACACACACACTACAGAGATATTATACAACTAAAGTTCCACTAGGCTCCATCCCATAATTAACTTTATACTTTCCTTATTTATATATATCCCAAAGTAAACTTCATACTTCTCTTAAGGAAAGGAATATGTGGTTCACAACATTTGTGGCTCTTCTAACCAAATTCCAAGCTTAAAAAACAAATTCGGCCGGAAAGGTTGGTTGCAAAGGAAGACAGCTTCAGCAACTTTGAAATTTATGTCACTGTTGTGCTGGTTCGCATAGCTCTTCATTCGGTCTTGGGCTATTTTAAGATTATCCTGTAAGAGTCTCAAAACATTGTCCCTGGCCTCTAGTTGTTCTGCCAGTTCTGCAATCAGAGTTTTACCTCGAACAAAAGGATGAATTACCGGTGGGTCCCTTCCGTAAACTACCTTGAAAGGAGTCAATTGAGACAAAGTTTGAAATCACGTATTGAGCGAGTACTCCGCCCAACACAGGAACTTGCTCCATTGGCGTTGCTGTTCATGGGTGAAGAACCTCAAGTATGCTTCCAAATAGAGACTGACAACCTCAGTTTGACTGTCCATTTGGGGATAATAGGAGGTGCTCATCCTCAAACGAGTTTGACTCAACCGGAACAATTCCTGCCAAAACATGCTGAGGAAAAGAGGGTCCCTATCTGCAAGGATGGATCAGGGCATTTCATGTAGTGGGACCACCTCTTCACAAAAACGAGCTGCAACTGTTTTGGCAGTGTACGAGTCACTCAAAGGGATAAAATGGCAGTACTTACTAGATGCTGGTAGCTGTTGTAAACTTGTAATAGCCCTGCAGGAAATAGAGCCGTTTGTTGGCAACTGTGGCACTGTTGGACGAATGTCTTAAGTCTTAACATCTGCTTCGTGTTGGGCCAATAGAAACTACCAGTAAGCCGTTTCAATGTCTTGAGGAACCCTCCATGGCCCCCTGATGGCATGAGGTGAGCCTCTTCGATCAATTTGGCGAGAGCCGGAGGAACACCCTAGAAAAAACAACTTGCCATTTACCTTAATATACACAGGAATAGCAGTAGGATCTAAACTCATCCAAAACTTTGTAACTGGGTCCTGCTTTGTGCTGACTCCTACAATTCCATTTAAATGTATTTCTTCTTTAGTCAACTCAGTTTTTGGCTTGGCAATGATTCCATAATTCTGTACAAACCTCCTGTAGTAGTAGCCTCTAAGTCCCAAGAAGCCACACAGCGATGTGACATCCTTGGGAGTAGGCCATTTCTCCACTGCTCTAATCTTTCTCAGATTCAGTTTCTATCCCCCGAATTGAAATTTGATGGCCGAGATATGCCACACGTGAACACCTACAATCACATTTTTATGGTTGACATTTGGCAAAGTATTCATGTCGCTGTAATACCTGAAGTACCTGGCAGAGGTGGACAAGATGCTACTGGGAGCTGTTGCTGTAATCTAGGATATTGTCAAAGAACACTAGTACAAATGTTCTTAAATAAACCCTGAAAATATCATTCATAGCACACTGAAAAGTAGCAGGAGCAGTAGTCGATCCTAAAGGCATTACCGTGAATACATAATGTCCGTTGTGAGTACGAAAAGCTATTTTTGGAATGTCACACTCTCATACAAAAGGTCTATTTTTGAGAGGTAGATTACTCCGTGTAGCTCATCCAGCAACTCATCAATATTGGGTATTGGGTATTTGTTCGTAATGGTAATCTGGTTAAGGGTGCGATAATCTACGCACATGTGCCACGACCCATCCTTCTTGCTCACCTGCCACTCAATTTAATTCTTTTGGGAAAATGGCAACGGTATGGGCGAATGTTGGGTGGCGGGTTGTTAGGCATAATATGAATGTCCTGATTGTGGGGGCGTGTTGGTGGAACGTGTCTAGGTTCATCAAGTAGTGTATTCATTAAGCAACTCATTCAGATTCTATGGAAATTCTTCCTCTATCCCCATCTCAAATTAAGAGTTACCATCGACATTAAACTAATGCTTTGATCAATTTTCGGGATCCCTTGCAATTTATATTGCTTCCCATCAGCCCAAAAAATTAGAAACATTTCATTCCAACTTGCTTGAAAGGTATTCAAGGAGGCTAACCATTTGATTCCAAGAACCATATTAGATCAAACTAGTGAAAATGTGTAAAAATCTTGTGTAAGAGTCAATGGACTTGCAAATTTGATTACATCGGATGATAAAGTCGTCTCCTATCTGTACCCCAAATGTCTGAACTAATGAAACATGAAACTTAAGTTGCTGCCCAAGTTTGTCTGGAATGAAGTTGTGCGTTGAACTGCTATCAATAAACAGAAAAACTTCACGCCCATGTAATTTTCCACGTAGTTTCATTGTTGCGGAAATTGGCCTTCTTAGAGTTGCATTAATGGACACTTCCTCATCAACGGGTACCTGCTCGGTGTTTATCAAATTGCCATCGTCATCGACTTCCATCAAAGAGAAGTTGATGAGGTCGAACGGCGATGTCCCATCCTAAAGGGATCGCCACAGTGCCACACTGGTAGCAAAGTCCCTTATCCCTGTGTTGCTGCTTCATTGAATTGTCTCTGCTAAATCTCAACACTGGCCTGAAGAGCTTGAGAATGTGAGTGGCCGGGGCGAATGAGATTGAGTCGAGTTTTTTACCTCTCGGTTTAGATAAGTGAGAGAACCTGAAGCGGCAAACCGGCCCGAGACCATTTGATTTGTCTCTGTCACGGAACCAACTCAACCAAAAGCTCAAGCTTGTGGTTGTGGCCCAGGAACAGTTATTTATATTCTAACCCGCCCCCTCACGTGCAGGCGTAGTCTTTTTCGAGCCTTGCACGTGAAACCTTAACTTTTTTAAACTAGGTGGCAGTGAGTTTCGAATTCGTGACCTCTTAGTCAACGAGGCTCCGATACCATGTCAATGAACCAACTCAACCAAAAGCTCAAGCTTATGGTTGTGCCCAGGAATGATTCTTATATACTCTAACATGCCCCCTCACGTGCAGGCGTGACCTCTTTGAACCTTGCACGTGAAACCTTAATTTTTTTAAACTGGGTGGCGGTGAGTTTCGAACTCGTGACCTCTTGGGTCATCAAGGCTCTGATACCATGTCAAGGAACCAAGTCAACCAAAAGCTCAAGCTTGTGGTTGTAGCCCAGGAACAATTATTTATATTCTGACAATTTGATAAATGAAATATTAATGAATTTGATCAATTTCGGGTCTAATCGGTTCCGGGTTTAACCGGGTTCGGGTTTTATCGGTTCGGGTTTAATCGGTTCTGGTTTAATCGGATTCGGATCTGAATCAGGTCTGAATACATTCGGTTCGGTTTCGGTTCGGTTCGGGTCATTTTGGGTGTTCGGTTCTATTTCGGGTCTTCAGTTTTCGGGTCAAATCGGGTTCGGTTCTGGGTTATTTGGTTCGGGACATCGGGTCCGGGTCAGTTTTGCCAGGTCTAGTGGTGTATCCCGTTTCTCAAACTTGATTGCTAAACTAGAAGCCCTGAGCACAGATTTGGATTTATGAATTCTGACCTCTAATACGAAATGACAAAAACTTGTTAGACTTAATATAGGATCTTAAATAAAACCGAACACTACTCTCCTCCCTTTTTCTCTGTAAGAATCTCACCGATGGAAAGGAATAGAAGCCAAGAGAATTGCAGGGTTACCGAACGGTGATTAATTTTTTGCGTATCTCAGCAATAGAGAAGCTGGGATATTCATAACTCTGTAACCAACTGATAAGGTCAAATAACAATCTAGGCTACCTAGGGCTTCAGGACTCCTAACATGCTGAGAGTCCTTTTATTTAACTAGCGATTTAAATTAAAACCGCAACAAACTACATTAAAGTATTAAACACTAAAAAGTAATTTAATTAAAGGTGGTAACGTGGCCTTCTGCTATAAATGATCCAGAAGGTAACGTGGCCTTTTGCTATAATTGTAGTACAACAACACAAAAAAACAACATTACCCCAGTGCCTCAACGGCTCCCGCCCATTGCGGGGTAAGGGGGGTCGGATGTATGCAGTCTAACCCCTGTGTTTAAAACATAGAGCGGCTATTTCCAGATGACCAATGATGAACATCAAAAGTTGCATTGACGAATTACTACTTCACAATTACAAGAAGCGCAGACAGTTTAGAGAGCCAATTTGCTTTATTCCATCATACCCCAAAGCAAAAAATAGTGAATCTTTGGCTTCACAGGGGAATGGAAATTTTTCTATAATTGTAGTATAGTAAATTTAAGAATATGTGTATTATACAAGTATACAACAGTTTCAAATGCTTCTCTTGTTAAGTCCAAGATATGATGGGCACAAGATGTAAGTTATGACCTACATATAGTGTGTCCAGTGCTGATGGTGCTAAAAGAGTCATTATTGACAGTGGTTTAGCTTTTGGTACATAATCGGCTAAATCAAAATGAAATATTGACCTTCCTTTGCTTTATATACCCCGTGAGATGTTGTGGGTTTTAAATGAATCAAGAGTCTAACAAAATTACCCTCTGTTTTTTACAGGATTGACACTGTTGTTGATTTTGGTTTTGTATTTTTCTGGTGGGTAGAATGTCCTAGAGTTACAATTTAACTTGTAGGTATTATGTATACACACCATTTTTTTGAAAATATACTAGTAAAAAGGGTAGGCATGTTTGGCTTTTTGTAGTAGCCCTTCGATAGCTTTTATGTTCTTTTGGGGTGTATTTGGGGTGGGGCCTGGGGGTGGTGGAGGAAGGAAAATTATTTCCACACCTCATTTGGTTCAAAACATTTTTTGGGTGGGAGAACCAAAATTTTTTCACTCCTCTCCTCCCAAACACACCCTTGGGCGTTGGGGAACTCTAACATTCTGATTCTACTATTTTTTGTAATTATTTAATAAAGTTAATTTTATTTTCTTACTTTGGAGAACCCGGGTTTTCCAAGACCCATATTTTATATTTTTAACCAAAATGACACATCAAACTTTGCTTCTTATTTTCTATGAAACTTTGGGTAGTAAATGCACCTATGTATCAAAGGTGTATATTGAGACCCTAACCCCTCTCTCTTTTTACAGGGGTAAGGTTGTGTTCATATTGACACCCTAACCCCAATGGCGTTGGGATTAAACTGGGTTTGTTAGTTTCAAAACTATAATAACATGCGTACATTTTTCTGCATAACACTGGGTTAAAATGAGGTGACTACCGCATAGATTTGCGTGACCATGTTGACCTTCCTTCCTGCCTATAAATTAAGCTACTAGTGGGTGATCTACAGATATCCATTCATAAATCAGGTGCTCTTCTTCTTCAACGGTTTCTCCTTTTCCTTCACATTCTCTCTTTTTTCTTCTAAATAAATCTTCAACTTGCTTAAGTTTATGCTTTTCACTCATGTTTTTTTAAATCTTGTGCCCTATTATTCAGCTGGCTAGGACGTGAAGCAGATACACAGATCAATACACAAAGCATCTCCAGAGGTTTCTCCTTTTCCTTTAAATTTCTCCTTTTGTAAGGTGATTTCTTTCTTTGTATGATTATGGTCTCAGAGTCTCCACAGTTAAATAGCAGTGCAGAAAAGCAACTTCATAAGTGCCTTTGTGATTGAGGATTTGAAAACATTCATTTCTTCATGTGGTATCTATGTTACATACTCCTAAGAGTATAAGATGGTTTTCTATGTTACATTCTTTTATCATTTTTCATATTTTGTGCCCATGGTTATGATTCTCAACCTTCACCTCACTGTACTCAGTATCTCCTTGTAGAGCACCTTTCTTTTTCTTGGCTTTTTTCTCTTTTGTCATTTAGGTGGTACTTGGGAGTCATGTCATGTGTGCATTTCATGTGAACAGGTTTTGTTTTCCAACCACAATTTTAGCCATGGAAGGTGACTATCCTGAAGTTCCAATTGAGATGACCAAGCTTTTCCATCGAATTGACCGTGAACTTTATTCAGCCCTGGTTTTCAATCTCCAGTGCAACCCAAGGGCATCTATGCTTGCAATTGCCTTCTGGATTTGGCTGGAACACATCACTTTAGAGAATGTAGTGACCAAAATATTGTCGTTGTCGTCCTTGGAAATGATCAATGGACTCTTCAATGAAGCTGTGGTCTGCCTTGGATGCATTGCAAACACCATGTGTTATTTCTCTCATACATCAAGTGAGCTTTCACTCACTCAACATCTTTTGGGACAGCACTTGTCCCTCAAGTACTTATATGAAAACCGGGTCGTGGCTTCTGATGGGATCAAAAACGTTGTATCAAGAGTTTGTCTCAATGCATTAAAGGATCTCATGGAAATGGCCATCCACATTAACACCCAACAACACTTTGTTCAAAGTGAAATGGCACATATCAACTGCTTCCTTGGTGATTTGTCATCTCAATCTGGTGGGGTGCCTCGACGAATGCCAACCATCAAGGCACCAAAAGGAAAGAGGACAATGTTTGCTACCTTCTCCAAGGGAGTCCCAGTTTGCGAAGGGGAGATCCGTCTGTTCTTCGACGAGATGTTTGGAGACTGCATCGATTCCATCTCCATGCAGGTAGTCAAGCCCAACGAGCAGCCACTCTTCGCCCTTGTTGTCTTCACCACTCCAGGAATAATCGACTTCATCCTCAATGGCACTGCAAAAGCAAAATTCTCCATTAATGGAAAACAGGTTTGGATGCGCAAATTTCTCCCAAAATCATAAGCCCTATCTCTCTCATGTCCTCAACCATTTACCGTGAGGGCGTTTCGTTTTTACCCTTTTGTCGTGTTTTACTTTTTACTGTGCGAAGCCCGATCATCGTGGCACTTTCTCGTTTCGGTTTCTAGCTTGCAATTAAGCCCCGTGTATGGTTGTCGTTTCCAAATTTAGTAACATTATGTAACCTTGTTTGATCGAATAAATATATTATATATCCAAAGTCCAGAATGTGTATTTGCTATTTTCATCGTATATGTATTTATAGTATATATTATATTCTAATTACATTCTCTAAATCGGTGCAAAAAAAATTGATGCGGGGCATCTAACATTTTAAGCTAAGAACTTGCAGATCTCACATTACCTGAAATATACTTTATGAGTTTTTAAAATTCATGGCAATTATTTTGACGGTACATTCTGTCTATTTGCCCGTTAAAATTGAAAGTTCTGTTATGTTGACCAATCAAACATCAAAAAATTACTCTTGGGCATTTCACATTTTTTGTTAAGTACTTAAGTCTCCTATATTAAGATTTTACTTTGAATAATTATTATTTTTAATATATTTTAATAAAAGTTTTCATTCTCTAAGTTAAATAAGTATTATCTTAGTTAAAGAGTATTAAAAACCTTAGTCATGTTTTCATCACACAAAAAATACTCCCTCCGTCTTGTAGTTTGTTTTTTCAGTTTCAGTTTATAATATTTGACTAAAATTATTTTCAACACAATTTATTTGAGAATTGGAGAAAAATTAAAAAATATAAATTATAGTTTAAAAAACTTCATAGTACATCAAAAGTTCTATGGAATATGAGGTGACAAGACTATACTATTTTATCAAAGAGTAATAGAAATATGAAAAGAAATTAAATGAAATTTCATCTTGTGAATAGTAAACAATATACTTAATTTAGGACGGATTGAGTATCATTTAAACTTTATATTTTTAAATAACTTAAGTATTTATAAAATTTTAATACATTTACTTTATAAAATTGGAGTATTAAATTACATTATTGGGCAAGCTACATATTTTATTTCAAAACATGAATTCATTTTAATTTTGAAATTTGCTATACATATTTTTTAACATTTCAATTGAAATGTTTAAAATTGTCATACATATTTCCAGTTTACAAATATTTAAATATTTATAAATACTTTAATTTATAAATAGTTTTTTAAATTTAAGATTTATAAGTACTTAATTTTTTTTAAAAAATAAAGATTCATACTCATCATATGGATTTTAAGACATGAAAAAATTAAATGTATTAGAGATTGTAATAAAATGAATTTTTTTCCTATTTTGAAGATAAAAATATAAGTACCCCAATCCATCATTTATTGTTCTTCTTGAGTTTGAACTATATTTGAAGAGATGATGTCATCTCGTTAAAATATTTATCTTATTGAGTATTGACACTTGTTTTACGCTAGAATTGAATGAAATTAGTTGTGTGAGAATTTCACTATTTTACCCTTAGGCTCACTATTACTTTGTCCTTTTTTCTCATTTTTAAATCTTTATGTGTTTACAATGTAAGTTTTTTTCCCCAAAAAACCATGTATTCCTTGGAACTTGTAGAAATAGAATAATTGCTATAGGACCCTCCAATTTTTAGCTAAACTCAATAATGGAAAACACTAACTTTTTAATGAATAAAATGAATTTTTTGTCCAATTTTGAGGATAAATATATAAGTGTTTCCCCAATCCATTATGTATTGTTCTTCTTGAGTTTGAACTCTATTTGAAGAGATAATGTCATCTCGTTGAAATACTTTTTCTATTGAGTATTGATTGAATAATTTTTTTACGCTAGTATTAAATGAGATTAGTTGTGTGAGAATTTTACTATTTTACCCGTAGGCCAGCAATTATTTTTTTCTCTTATTTTTCAAACTTTATGCATTTACGATGTACGTTTTTTCTTCAAAGAACTTGATTCCTTGGAACTTGTAAACATAGAATAATTGCTATAGAACCCTCCAATTTTTAGCTAAACTCAATAATGGGCAACACTCATTTGAGGATAAATATATACTCCGTAAGTGTTTTCCCAAACCATCATTTATTATTTTATTGTGTTTGAACCCTATTTGAAGAGATGTGATCTCGTTGAAATACTTATCTCATTGAGTATTGACTTACTTCTTTTACATTAGTATTGAATGAAAATACTTGTGTGAGAATTTCACAATTTTGCCCTTAGGCCAACTATCTATTACTGTCCTTTTTTCTTAATTTTCAAACTTTATGCATTCACAATGTTCGTTTTTTCTTTCAAAAAACTATGTATTTTAATTTTTCGAATTTGAAGAAATAAAATGGTTGTTATAGGACTCTCCCATTTTTAGCTAAACACAATAATGGACAACACTTTTTTTTATTAATAAAGTGTATTTTTTGTTTTATTTTGATGATAAATGAGTAATTGTTTTCTCAATCCATTATTTATTATTCTTCTTCAGTTTGAACTCTATTTGGAGAGATTATATCCTCTCCTTGAAATACTTTTCCTATTGAGTATTGACTGCTTTTTTTATTTATGCTAGTATTGAATGACATTAGTTGTGTGAGAATTTCACTATTTTACCCTTATGCCAACAATAACTTTGTCCTTTTTTCTTATTTTTCAAACATATGCATGCATTTACGATGTAGGTTTTTTGGAACTTGTAGAAATAGAAATATTGCTATAGAACCCTCCAATTTTTAGCTAAACTCAATAATGGGCAACACTAAATTATTTATAAATAAAATGAATATTTTGTACTATTTTGAGGGTAAATATATAAGTGTTGTCCTAGTCCATCATTTATTGTTTTCTTGTGTTTGAACTCTATTTGAAGAGATGTGATCTCGTTGAAATACTTATCTTATTGAGTACTGACTTAGTTTTTTTATGCTAGTATTGAATGAAATTAGTTGTGTGAGAATTTCACTATTTTACCTGAGGCCAACTGTTATTGTCTTTTTTTTCTTATTTTTCAAACTTTATGCATTCGCGATGTACACTTTTTCTTTAAAAAAACTCAATTATGGGCAATACTAAATCTTTTATGAATAAATTGATTATTTGGTACTATTTCAACACTAAATTATTTATAAATAAAATGATTTTTTTGTACTATTTTGGGGATAAATTTATAAGTGTTTTTCCAATTCATCATTTATTGTTTTATTGTGTTTGAACTCTATTTGAAGAGATGTGATCTCGTTGAATAACTAATCTTATTGAGTATTGACTTACTTTTTTATGTTGGTATTGAATTGAATTAGTTGTGTAAAAATTTCACTGCTTTATCCTTAGGTCAAATATTACTGTCTTTTTTTCTTAATTTTCAAGCTTTATGCATTCACGATGTACATTTTTCTTTCAAAAAAACTATGTATTTCTTGGAATTTGGAGAAATAGAATAATTGTTATAGGACCCTCCCATTTTTAGCTAAACTCAATAATGGCCAACACAATTTTTTTATTAATAAATTGATCTTTTTTCAATTTTGAGGATAAGTATTTAAGTGTTTTTCCCAATCCATTATTTATTGTTCTTCTTGAGTTTGAACTCTATTTGAAGAGATAATATCATCTCATTGAATTACTTTTGCTATTGAGTATTGAATGACTTTTTTTTACGCTAGTATTGAATGTATAAGTGTTTTCCCAATTCATCATTTATTGTTTTATTGTGTTTGAACTCTATTTGAAGAGATGTGATCTCATTGAAATACTTAGCTTATTGAGTATTGACATACTTTTCATTTACGTTATTATTGAATTAAATTAGTTGTGTGAGAATATCACTATTTACCCTTAGGCCAAATATTACTGTCTCTTTTAGTTTTCAAATTTTATGCATTCACGATTTATGCGCTTTTTCTTTCAAAAAACTATGAATTTCTTGGAACTTGGAGAAATAGAATAATTGTTATAGGAGCCTCCCATTTTTAGCAAAACTCAATAATAGCCAACACTAATTTTTTATTTATAAAGGGCCTGTTTGGGAATAACGTTAGCGATTACCGTTAGCGTTTTGAAAAGACTATCTACGGGCAGCGTTTTCAAAATAATCTGCACCGTTAAAATTTTATCTAAAACGCTAAAGCTAATCTCTAACGCTATTCCCAAACAGACCCAAAATATAATGAATTTTTTGTTCTATTTTGCGGGTAAATATATAAGTTTTTTCCAAATTCATTATTTATTGTTCTTCTTGAGTTTGAACACTATTTGAAGAGATGATATGATCTCGTTTAAAAACTTTTCCTATCGAGTATTGACTGACTTTGTTATACGCAAGTATTGAATGATATTAGTTGTGTGGAATTTCACTATTTTACCCTTAGGCCAACTATTACTTTATCCTTTTATCTTATTTCAAATTTTATGCATTTACGATGTACGTTTTTTTCCAAAAAAAAACTATGAATTCCTTGGAAGTTGTAGAAATAGATTAATTGCTATAGGACCCCAGTTTTCAGCTAAACTCAATAATGGGCCACACTAATGTGTTTGTGAATAAAATATATTTTTGGTCCTATTTTGAGGAAAAATATATAAGTTTTTTCCCAATCCATCATTTATTGTTTTTCTGAGCTTGAACTCTATTTGAAGAGATGATGTCATCACGTTAAAATACTTAACTTATTGAGAATTGACTTACCTTTTTCTTACGCTAGAATTGAATGAAAATATTACTTTGTTTTTTCTTAGTTTACCCTTAGGCCAACTAATACTTTGTTTTTTCTTATTTTTCAAACTTTATGCATTTACGATGTACGTTTTTTCTTTCAAAAAACTATGTGTTCCTTGGTACTTGTAGAAATAAAATAATGGCTATAGGACCCTCCAGTTTTTAGCTAACTTGAGTTGGAACTCTATTTGAAGAGATGATGCCATCTCGTTCAAGTACTTAACTTATTAAGTATTGACTTACTTATTTTTTATGCTAGTATTGAATGAAAATAGTTGTGTGAGAATTTCACTATTTACTCGTAAGGCAACTATTACTTTGTCCTTTTATCTTATTTTTCAAACGTTATGCATTTACGATGTGCATTTTTTCCCAAAAAATATGTATTCCTTGGAACTTGTAGAAATAGAATAATTGCTATAAGGTCCTCTAATTTTAAGCTAAACTCAATAATGGG